CGCTGGGGCGTGAGCCCCCCCTTTCTTTCTTTTTTTAAGATGAGCTCTCACTATGTCAAGATCCTCATGCCTCACCCCCCTGAAGAGTTGGGACTGCTGGCATGCTCCACCATGCTCAACATTTTTGGGTTGGCCAGAATCAAACCTGGGTATTCAGCCAGCTGAGTAGTAGGGTCAATTCACACATGCTACCATGTCTTGACCTGGAAGAGTATCATTAGTTTTAATTACTCCTGTGTATTTGTTATCATTCTATCTTTGTTATGGGTACTGCAATACTTAATATGCAAAGGAGGACCGTTTAAGTTCTGGACCTAGTGGATTGGAAATTACACCAGGTATGTGTGTGTGCATGTCCAAAATCTCAAGAGCAGAGTGGAGGAAAGAAATTGTGGCATGGCCATCCCCCTAGGGGTTGATTTCTGGCTTTCCCTCTCTCCAGTGAGCCCATATGCCCTATGACAAAAATCTAAAACAAAAACAAAAGAAAGGATGGTAAAACCTGTTCCCTAAACTTTAGGCAGCTGGAAAATTCTGGCATTGGCTGTACTCATTATGCCCTTGAATAGGTTTAGTGGAAAAATAAAATCTGTCCTCAATTTTATTTTCTTTTCTTTTTTTTTTTTTGGAGTCTTTCTATTATCTTTTTGAACTTAATGTTACAGTTGTGTCTTTTTCTAAGAAGAGCCAATTTAGTAAAATAGAAAGTATAGTAAACAATCATCAGCATTTAGAAAAAACAAGTGTCTATAAACTAAAAGTTTGAGAATCACTAAACAGTATTCTATCTTAAGAATTATTTCTCTGACATTTCCCTTATCCTTACCTACCCACCAAATTTTCATACAGAATCTTCTGAGAATCTTTAGAACCATTTGAGAAAAAGAAAAAGATTAGTGGTAAATCAGGATATTACATCATATTGAGAGTTAAATATATAGGCTTGGCCCTGTAGCATAGTGGTTAAAAAGTGGTTTGAATTCTGGCTCTGGCAGCTTGAAAAACACACTTGGGGGTGGGGGGAATGGTGGTGTGTGTGTGTGTCAAATCTTAGCAGGATGGAGAAATGGAGAAGGGATTGCATCATGACCATTCCATATTGGAGGCTGCTTTGTTTCTTCTGTCTCTGCAGTGAATACGTATGCCCTCTAGCAGTTACAAACAAACAAAAAAGGTAGTTTGTAGATATAATTATATGTACCTGATTTATCTTATATAGTAATTATGCACATATGTTTTTGATGTATTATAAATTTTGAATGCAAGTTGAATATTGTTTATAAAGCATATTTAAAGAATAAAAAATAATGATTTGAAGAACACTAGTTTATATAATGCCCAGTTTAAGAACATTACCAATATCTAAACCAAATTCCAATCCTTTCCTTCTTAGAAATATTTCATTTTGGGAACCAGCAGTTAGCGTAATGGCTATGTCGCTGGACTCCCACGTAGTTGACCACGGTTCGTGTCCTGGACCCGGTGGCTTAAAACTCACGCCAGCCACGTGTGCGTGTGTGCCCAAGATCCCGAGAGGAGAGTGGAGGAGTTGGGATTGCGGTGTGACCATCCCCCCTGGGGGGTGATTTCTCACTTTCTGTCTCTATGTCTCTCTCTGTCTGGCGAGCACACGCGCCCTATAGCAAAAAACCTCTCCAAAATAAAAAAAAGAAGTATTACATGTTTACTTGTAATTTTCTTGATTTTCTCATGGGATTTAGTTCATATACTCTAATCCCAACAATATATTGTTTGGTTTTGAAAGGCTAGTGGAGGAAATAGAATGTGAGTTTATTTATATTTATTATTTTTTTATTTTAATGGCACAGAACACATGCATACATATGAGAGAGAAGGAGATAGAGAGAGAGGAAGAGAAAGCACCCCTCAGGGGCTGGACATGCTATAGTCCATATTTCCCCATTTCTCCATCCTGGCAGGATCCTTAGCATGTGCACATACAACTATTATGGTTTTCAAGTTCTTGGGACCAGTACTCAGATCCTGTTCATCCATGTGTGATCTGGCTTCCTCTGTGCAGTGCTTATATACTGTGCTACAGAGGGCCCATATTTTGCTCTTGTTCTTAACATTGTAGGCAGGTTTCAAATTAGATATTTCTATACAGAAGATCCTAGGCATTATCTTTGATTCCCTACAACACCATAAGACTGTGAAAATTGAAGCTCTCAATCTTAAGTCCTGTAAATGCCCTTATAGTGATATCTGACTCATGGCTCTGCTTGCCTGCTTTTCAGGGGTCTCTCACTTTTACTAGTTTTTTAACCTTTCATTATTGTTTTGTTGCTTAAAAGCTTATCAGTGCAGTTAAACATGTTTTGTTATTTTTTTATTCATTGGTTTTACCTGTTTTTATCTGAATACTCTTGGGGAACCTAGCTATCATTCTGCTATTAGAAGAGTCAATATTCCAGTTTTTATTTTTGAAACACTCATATCACTTTCCTGTGCTTTCTTTTTCTATGGGCAGAGCTATACGGTCTTGGAAGAAACTCATTTCGGTTGTCTGCCAATTCTTTTTTCCCTTAATTTTTTTGCCTTCTCTCTTTTTAAATTACTGCAATATTAATTTCACAAAATATATGTAAACAACTGGTTTCATTACTTGACTGTCAGGAGATTATTCTTCCCACTGGAATGCACTTAGGCATGCAGTACCATAAATACAGTTAAGAATTAAATTATAATTTTGTTTAGAGTTTGTGTGTGTGTGTTTACACATGTGTATATGTTTTCTACTAGACTGCTGCACTGGATAATAATAAAGATTCCAGCCAGAATTTCTTGAGACTGTTTAATGGATATGTTTACAATGGTGTGGAAACTTTGGGGAAGGAGCTGTTTATGTACTTTGGGCCAAAAGCTTTACGGTAAGATAAACCTATATAATACATCATATCTGTTTAAAGATGTGTAGAAGGTTTTTTGTTGTTGTTTGTAGTTTGCTGGTGTCACATTTAATCATGTAGAAAGTACTTTATTTTTAAGAGAGCTCTAACATAAGAGGTTGAGATTCTATCATGGAGAGCAATAAACAGAAGAATAAATGGTGATGTCATCATTACTTGGAGACTAGTCAATTTATTTATTTTTAAATTGATAGGCTAGCAAGGCTTCCCAAGATATATTAGAGCAACACATCTCTGTTTTGCTATTCCCCAAACTGCCTGCACTGCTAGTCTCTGTTCTTGTTTGCACAAAATGTTTATTGCATTCAGTGACATCAGTTACTTTATCTTTGTGACAAGCCCTAGTTCAGTTTAAATGTATCACTAGGTTTTTATATTTTTCTGTTTTCCTTTTTCCTCTGGATCCTACAGTGCAATTTGGAAACTTTCATGTAGGATTCAGAACTTTTCACAGGAATAGCAGTTTCTTCCTTGTTTCAAGTTATTATAGAAATTCATGGCTGATATGTGGCACAGGACAAACAACTACTACTTTGTTGACTTAACAATAAAAACATGTTAAAATGTATATAATTGAGATGCATGATCACAGATTCGATTTTTGCAGGAAAAAGAAAAACTTCTATGAATTAATAATGTCTATTAAATCTCAGACTGTCTTTTCTGAGTTTAGCCTGAACTTTCACAAACTGTTAGTAAGTTTGGTACTGCTTCCTTGAGTCTTTTTTTAGTGTTTCTTTAAGTTATTGAACAGTTATCACCTTCCTAAAAGAAAAGACCTATTACTAGACCTCATGTTTCTAACTGAAGGTGAATAATGGTCACAAAGAGATGGTATGACTATACGATTGTTATTTATTGCATCTCATCTACCACATATTTAGAGTACTTCAGGGTTTATGTAATTGCTTTTCCTCTGAGGTATTCTCTCTTCATTGTCAGCAGCTGCTGTCCTTGGACAACATTGTCACTTCATGGTTTTTCTTAGTCTGGAATTGATAACATCAGCATATGCCTACTGGTTCATGCAGTAATGATATATTGCAGGTTACATTACTGCTGTAGTAGATTGATGTGATTGAAAACTTTTAGCTCTGGACAGCGTAGTACACATTGGAATCCATGCAAGAGAGTTGAAAACATTGATATGTTATTGATTTTCTGGTGTTAGGTACAGATTTATTTCTGTAGGATGAGAGGGAGGTTTTTATCAAGTGTTCTCCACCAGACTGATAAGGGGGGAATCATTTCTCAGTACAGGACTGTCAGTCAGTGTTCCATGAAGTTCTAAACAAGGGCAATCACTTCTTCAAACTAAGTGAATAGTACCATCCCTGAGTGTACCTATCTCAGTATGTGGGTGGGAGAGAATGCAGCAGCTTGCTGCCTTTCATTTTCCTGTAACCTTAATTGATAGCTATCAAACATAACACTTCAAGGTCAATGGCAGATCAGCTGTGGGGATCTGAACTCTGCAATCTAAAATCAACTGTATGTATCTCCATTGACAATGTAACATAAGTTCAAAAAATGTACTCCAACCTCTGCTTCCTAGGGGAATGGAAAACTCTGTCAAGGAAATGTGATCTTTGTATGAGGTCTGTGAGCGTGAGAGAGAAATGTAGTCTTCTGTTTTCTACAGACCATTCTCCATTTTAGAAAACAAGTAGCAAGAAATTTGCTTAAAGATTGTTTACAATTTTCTTTTCATAACAGCTTTGCACAGTCCATTGCCCATGGATTTTAGTGTATGTGCATCTCACAGGGAAGGCCATAAATATTCTGGGATTCATCTTTTAAAAATTTTTTTATATGAAAGTAGGATACATGTATAGCCCTCTGTAAGAGAATCTGCCCTGTAAAAATGGATACTTTAGAAAAATACAAATCCAGCCCAACTGTAATGTTGTAGGCAGAAACATGCCACTGAGTAATAGTTCTGGAGCCACATTACTGATCAAGGTCTGGATCCCTGTTGACCTAATAAACATACCTGGTACACATAAATGCACCCATAATACTGGCTGGCTAGAAGGGTGGGGAAGGGGATTGTGGTGTAAAGAGATCCTGTCACGGGCGCTCTCTCTCACATCCACACTCCTATTCACTCAGTCTCTCTCTCTTTTGAAAAAAAAAAAATACATAAACTTAAAAAAAGAGGGCCATGGGAACCAGCAGTTAGCATAATGGCTATGTCGCTGGATTCCCACATAGTCGACCGCAGTTCACGTCTCGGACCCGGTGGCTTAGAACTCACGCCGGGCGCGTGTGCGTGCGTGCCCAAGATCCCGAGAGAAGAATGGAGGAGAAGGGATTGCAGCGTGACCATCCCCCCTGGGGGGTGATTTTTCGCTTTCTGTCTCTATGTCTCTCTCTTGTCTGTCTGGAGAGCGCACGTGCCCTAAAGCGAAAACCACTCAAAAAATAAAAAAGAGGGCCAGTCCCATAGTCAAGTGGTTAAGGGGGTATGATCATGGCTAATCATGGTTTAAATCCTGACCCCATCAACTTGAAAAACATGCCAGGTGTGTGTGCATGCATGCTAAGTATCCTGATAGGATGGAGAAATGAAGAAGGGATTGCAACTTGACCATATCCCATGGGGAAGGTGCTTTTCCCTCCCTCTCTCTCTCTCTGTCTCTCACTGGAGAATGTGCACACCTTCTGGCAATAAAAATAAAGAAGAGAGAAAGAGAACAGAAAAAGATACAAATCAGAGTGATTATTTCTGTTGGTAAATGATTAGCCAAGTGCTCAAGTTGCTTGTACTAGTCATAGAATACTAAAATTCATTTGATGCACGTTTATTTTAGTAGTCGACCGCATACATAGTGCAGTAGTTAATCACTGTGCATAGAGAGCTGAATCACACAATGCCCACTACATCTCAAGTCCCAGCCTCAGTGTCTTGAAAAACACACTGAATGTGTCTGCATGCTTGCCACAAATCCTAACAGGATGGAGCAATGGAAGAAAAGCAATTGTGGCATGGCTCCACCTTGTTGAGGGTTCCCCTCTCTGGCAAGCAAACACATTCTAGCAACAAAAAAAGAAAAAGAACACACACACACATTTAAGAGCATAGTTGTGGTGTTATGTATGATTAATAATTATACTGCTTCTGGATACCACAGTTGTTCTTCAACTAAAACAAACAAAAATTGGGGCCAGCAGGTGGTGTGGTGGCTAAAGGGCTCTGGACTCCCACATGACCAGTTGCAATTCGAGTCCCAAACCTGGCGACTTGCTTTCTCGCTTTCCCTCTCTCTCTCTTTCTTTTCGCTCTGTCTCTGGTCAAATTAAAATAAATGAAGCTAAGTGAAATAACTCTTTAAAAAAAAAACAAAAAGCAAAAATTTTTCAGGATTTAAAAAAATACATTCATGATCGAACACATGTACACATATGTAAGAGAGAAAGAACGATATGTACCCTCCACAGGGTCTGGCCATACTACATGCTCCTCTTCCAGTCTTCTAGCCTATGGATCTTGAACACACAGCACATGGTCAGAGTGGCCAAGCCAGGGATTTGAATTGCAGACACCATGTGAGATCCAGCTTCTCAGAGTGGCAACCAGTATGTTACCACCATGCAATGGAGGGAGCCCACAAAATCATTTTTAATTTTTTTGTTATAAGCATAACAGACACTCACTAGGTCACTAAACAGAGAAATGATGAGGCAATAAGGTAAAATAATGCATTTGCAATCCTGCTACCAAATATCTTCATTAATTTTGGATGCATACATTACTAGTACAGAGTGAGCCTATTTCTCTATGTTTATTCACCCAGACCTATCCAGTCTACAAGCTGTCATTTTTAACCAGAATGGACATAGCTACTATATTTTAACTATATTGAAAAGATGTATATATATATTTAAAAATTTTTCTTTCCAAAATACCATATTTTCAATTTGTGATTTATATGACTCTGTAATTAGTATTATGTACTCAGAAAATAGAAAAAACTGAAATATTTTAAAAGCTTTGCCATCTTAGGAAAGCTTTATATGCTATAGATTTTGTAATTTACTAGACTTTAAGTGGTATGAACCTCTAATCAGAAATGCAAGAGAAAATATAACAGTTCTTTTAAGTTTGCTAAAATGTCTTTATGGAATCCTTCAGATGCTACTTATAAAAGACATCGTTCATGTAATCTGTCTCATAACATTGTTAGGAAAAATTGAAATGTGGTAGAAATTCTAAACTAAATTATATACTTCAGAGAAGTAACTACTGTTTGTCCAGCATACCCCCCCCTTGTTTTTGTGGATAGCCTTCTAAAAACTGGTCATCTGGCCACAGTGATGATAGACAAATGTGTATATTTGGTTTTTTTTTTTTTTTTTTTTTTTTTTTTTTTACTTTTTTTTTTCCCATGAGTGAGAAAGAGAGAAAGAGAGAACTTGAGTCCCCCAAAGAGTTGTACCACCATGATACATTCCTAACTTCAGCCAGTCTTGGATCATGAGCATTTGTATACCTTTCACACTCGGGGAGGTCTCTAGATACAAACCCAGAACCTTTCCCTGTGCGTCAGCCTTATGAAGCATTGCATCCTACCACTGCACCACCATAAGATTTTGGGCACACACGCCTGGCATGATTCTCACGCCACTGGTTCCAGGACTCAACCACAAAGCTGGCCATGTGGGAATCTGGTGCCTTAACCTCCATGCCACTTGCTTGCCTGAAATTAATTTTAATTACATTCTTATTAACTCACCTGAAATATATATCAACATGTAAACTATTTTGGGGCTATATGATATTCCTTTCTTTGTATTGAGTCTTCAAATTTCATTGCATATTTTATATTTAATGTACATATTGATTTTAACTAATCACATATCAAGTTCTTAGTTGTCATATGTGCCTTGTGGCTGCCATATTAGTCAGTGCAGCTCTAACTAACCAAAAAAAAAAATAGACATAAATTAATGATATTAGG